CGAGAGAATCGGTGGAGCCTTGAGATATAGCAGCTTTCTCATTTTTAGCATCAGAGGAAATCTCAACTATAGCTTTTTCGTTGTCGGAAACGGTCGGTGAAATGGATGATTCGTTAGCTGCAGACATTTTTGTTTTTGCTTCGGCTTGATTGTTCTGAAACGGTTGCAATGATTGAGGAAATTGGGGGCTATTTATAGAGCAATCTGAAGAATGCCTAGGCGGTAGCGAACCCAAAATTTTTTGGTATATGAATTCCATTGATCCATGACAGGTGGAGATATACTGTTGGTATCCAATGTAATAAATGTATTACAAATTATTGTGTATAGATCCCCCCGCCCACCCATTGTCTATGTATCGTACTTAAGGGCCCACAAAGAGACAATTTATTGGGAAGCTGCGCGTTATTAATTAACACAATCATTGCGAGGTTAGGAGACAATTGATGAGCCTCAATGATAGGTTTTGTGTGATTGCACTAAAGTCCAACCAATAATGAACTACATTTGTGAAATATACTTTTCTTTTTTGCAATTGTTGGGAGAACAATAACTTTTCGCACCCATTGTTTTTGATTTTCCTCCACCAGCCGTGTAGCCAATAAAACAAAAGCCTCTTCCATTTTTCAATTACGGAGGCTAGTCTTGGAAACGGTTATCCCCATATTGGCTTGATAACTCAAACGCCGCCCAATCTACGGAATAGGGGTAGTTGCTCAACCCTTAATTTGTAAGAAATGGATTAAACCGGCTGAAGATCGGGAACATGTTACCGAACATGACAAATGAACAACAATGGGCTGCCCCCACTCTCCATTGTTCTTAATAGCTTCTAGAGCGTGCAAAGTGTTGGAAAATGTTTAGTTCTTCCGAAGTTCTTCCCTGCGTAAGGGCGATTATAATAAGCCTATTTCCAGGGGTTTGCCATTAAGCCCTAACTAATGGCGGTAAGAATGAACGGGTTGGAATATTGTAGACATTCTATTCGATAAATGGACCTTGACCAAGACAGTTGGATAGAAATACTTTCAATCAATAATAAACAGAGACGGTTATTATTCTTTTTGTCGCTCATGTTACAGTTTATGACAATATCACTGTAACCCCCGCCTTCAATCAATGCATAAAACATTATAAAACCAACAATTTAGGCTTGGAAACAGCGGAATTAGAACATTGAAAAATACTCAATGGAACAATAGTCAAAGTGGTCTGATCCTAGTTCCTTGTCTGATTGTTCTTGAGTATTTCCGTTGTTCTCAATTATTTCTTGGTTCTAAAATATGTACCTTATATCCATTTCTATTGTTGGTGTATGGAATTTGGATTCAGCCGTCAAAGGGTGTCAAAATTGACAGGCAGGCTTTGTTTCGGGAAAATTATGCAGAAACACATTTAATTATTGCGAAGTGATTATTAATCACCTCTCTCCTCACGACTTGTTCTATTGTCTTTATCATTTGTGTTTATCGATCGGAGTCATCGGAGTTTGAGCTTTTCTTTCTATTATTCAGACCTCCTCATTGAGTTCATGCCGCTAACGATCGTTTGGAGACAATATAGATTATGTAAGAAGCAAGGCTTGTTTTTTGGTTGCATATTCAGTTAATAATCATACTTTAATGGACCTTACAATTCCCTAACAATTGAACCACATGATGTTTTTAAGCAATATCAGAGTTCTATGTTAGCCACTAAAGTCCGGGAAGATAATGACCCATTAATGTTTGCGGCATTTTTGCTTAATGTGGTTGGGAAACAGCCTTTTATTGAAGGACTAACGGATATGCTTGGGATGGTGGCTTTTCTTGAACGTCTAACAGTGAAATCCATGCGGCAAGGTTATTCGCTCTGAGGAGCCACGTTCATGAAGTCAGATTAGGGTCCAATTAAAAGTTAGCGATAATGTGCCAGTTCCTGTATATGAAAAACTACAAATGAAATCTTACGAATTCATTTATGGAACCCTTCCAATGTCACCAACTAGGTAATTGCAATCGTTCGTTCTTGCCAGAAAGATGACTAAACAGCCGTGGTCAACTTAGTACAAAAATAAACATTGCCAAATTCAGAATGTAATTGTACAAGAATAATTTTTTCGATGCTGCGGCTGTCGCTGCATATTGATTGCCAAGTTAAATATTTTGAAAATTCACACGACCCTTCAATTTGACAATCCAAACTGCACATAATTAATTAATCAATTCAATTGCTTTTCTTATCAATTAGGATTAGTACTCTCTTCCTTTCTATCATTCATTTCATAACAAACTATGGGATTCACGGATGAAATAAGTAAGAAAGTAAATCAAGCTGTCCTTAAAGCAAAGGATAAACTTCACGACCATCAGTCCTCAAATTCAACAACTTATAATAGACCCGCAGCTGCCACACCACAAGGTAATTGTCCAATTCAATTACAATTCTATACTCATAACATCAGACAGGATGCCAAGAATAGAATGGAGAATGAGAGAACTTGGCCGGAGAGAATGCCAGGGGTAGTGCGATTGATTCGGTATGTATCATCATCAAATCCCACATTGGTTGGATTGCAAGAAGTTAAGAACAACCAATTGAATGATATAATGCGTGAATTAGGTCGAGAATGGACATATTTCGGAGTTGGACGTGATGATGGGAAGAAAAAGGGAGAATACTCTCCGATTTTATTTAAGAATTCTGATTTCGAATTGTTATCTGGGAAAACATATTGGTTGAGTGATACTCCAGATAGAGTAAGTAAAGGATGGGATGCTGCATTTGAAAGAATTGTAACTAAAGTTTCAATGAGACATAGACAACTGGGTAAAGTTATCAATTTTTTCAATACTCATTATGACCATCGTGGAAAAGTGGCAAGAGAAAAATCATCATTTCAAATCCTTGATTTAATGAAGAAGTCACAAGGTATAAATGTCTTAGCAGGTGATTTTAACAGTGAACCGAAGCATGAAGCTTATAAGACTTTGGAAAAAAGTTTGATAGAATCTTCAAAAGGGTGTAGGCAAAGGGCGGGATTTGAACATACCGTGACTGGTTTTACTCTTGGTAAGAAGGAATCAAGTATTGATTTTATTTGGGTAACTCCAAATATTCCAATTCTTTATCATGAAGTATTAGATCAGACTTATGGTAATTATTTATGCAGTGATCATCGTCCTGTAAGAGCCATTATTGAAGTATAGTTATTGTTCTTGGTATATCTTAAATTTACACCTATACAAAAAATATCAATGGTTGCAAAATTATTATTTTTTTTCAGTTATGCAACAATTTCTTTGGATATATTAAAAGAAAAGGATATCCCCATCAACGAAAATATTAGATGCGCTCTTTATTCACTCTTTCTTCTTCTCTGACATGAGAAGTTCATATATTGTGTTTTTATTGTGGTTGTTGATCAATCACATTACTTGCATAGAAATTCTTCCCTACATAAAACAATATAAACCTAACCCCAATCTATTAACCTACTTCAATAACTTGAACCGAATTAGAGCATTTCAAGAAATATCAAGAATCACACTCAAGAACCTATTCGAGCACGGAGTAGTAAAAATCCCGACTACCCAGTCAGTAATCTTCAGCGAGGATCTAGCTGAAGAAACCATGTCTCCTGTCACAAGGGAAAATACCAGATCGCGTTCTATACACACTGGAAGACGATTAAAACTTTATAAACTCAACTTTCTTGAAGTTAGTTTCGAAAATGCAAGTTTCAAAAGCATGATGCATGCCTCGACTCCTTTGGGGAAATGTATAAACAATTATTCCAAACAGCCAGCAACATATCTCCAAGGGTGGGCAATTGAAGCAGGTGCGGCCGCTAACTTAAAGATCGATTTTGCAACATTTATAATCGATCTTCATCCAACTACGAAAGTTGAATTTGGTGTTTCTGTTGGTCTAAGTGGTCTGTTTAGTTGCGATGTCCCACCGGGTCATCCATTACAATTTGCGTTAACTAGCGAACGTTATGAAATACTGGGGGTTAGACAGAGAAGAATGAGAATAACTAGATTTGGATTACAAGAGGAAGAATGGGAGGAAGTACCTACATTCACAAAAGTTAATACTAGGAATATACAAATAGCATGTATTACCGATCCTAGGCTTGTGAAATGCCCTCCATTGGTTCATTAGTTTAAAATTTTAATAACACAAATTCAAATTTATATTTATATATTTAGAGCAGAAATAAACAATTTTTTGTTGACTACGCCTATTCAAAGTCATCTTTTAAATCATCACCAGCTAAAGTAAATGGTTCCGGCAATGGTGCTTCAGTGATATTTAACTGTCTAACAGTCTTAATAAACTCAACTTTTTCTTCCGGTTTAGTATCCGCAAGAACTATTATCCCACCGGATCCTCTATACTTTCTAACCGGAACAAATCTATCATCCTTAAGAAATGAGACGAAATTGGATTGCAATGGTAACACTCTCGATAAATTCTCAATCTTGTATGGAGTTTTGGAATAACGGACTTGAACAGGTTCATCAGACGGTTTAGTTTCCTTTGGTGTGACACTCTTGGCCTTCTCTTCCGATTTTGGCTCTTCTGATTTATTCTTATTTTCTTGTTCTTCATCTGCTTTTGCATCATCAATGTCCATTTTATCCTCAGCTGCTGATTCACCTTCATGTTTTCTTTGCTTCTTCTTAGCTCTAGTCTTTGCCTTGGCTGTAGTTGACAATACTGCAGTTGCGAGTTTATCCGGTTGCTTTTCCTTAGTTTCCTCAACTTTGGCAGGATATTGGAAATATTCTGGATTGGTATGACAATTGAGTTCAAATTTTGGTGCTTTCAACTCGGAATTCACCCCGATAATAGAAGTAGGCACGAATGATAACGACAAGAAATGAGCTAATGGGAACCAATACCAAGATTGGACAAAAACAGTCAATCCTACAATGGCTTTAATGTTCAAAGTATTAGTTTGAGAATTTTCCAAACTAATAGTCACATTTCTTCCACCAGCATCTATTATCCCTTGAGACAAAGTAGCCCCGAATTTAGCCAAGGCATCCTCATGTTTATTCTTGACGACATCTGCATATTGTTTGGTGAATTGTTTGACTTTTGGATAGATGGATTCATTCTGTTCAATTAAGATCATAGCTGAAGCCATTAAAGCACCTTGTCTAACGAAATCAACAGGATCCTTGGTTAATGGTTCCAAAACCTCAATAGCTGGAGCATATGCTCTACCGGCACAGGAAATACCCAAGGCCATGGCAGTACCATATCTAACATGAGGATTATGGGATTGTGATAATAATTCAACAATTTGTGGAGCGGCGGTATAGTCACGAATCAATAAGAAACCTAATGATAATACAGAAGCCCTACGGACATCATCACTGGGGTCAGAGACCGCATAATGTAATAATTTCTTAATGGCATTGTTGCTTCCAGTACCGGCATAAGCTAATGCAATGGTAAATGCACCTCCATATCTTAAAATTGAAGATTCCTGACTCATTAATTTATCAATCACATAATCAGCTTTTTCTTCAAGTCCATAATTCAACAAAGCAATACCAATAGCCAAACCTCTGATAATGTTTTCATGTTGAGTTTCAAGAGCATAAGTTAACATATCATGTACTGCGGCTTCATTACCAGATCCTAACATTACTAAACCCATAGCCAATGCGGCAGCTTGGGAAGAAATCGCTGAATCGGAATATAAGACAACTTTCAAAGATTCGTAGAGTGATTCACTACCAGAAGCCATTCCAGCCACACCTGCACCCAAGGCTGCACCATGTAACATAACATCGGTATCTGTATTTCCGGCGGCATTACCATTTTCATCAATAAAAGATTTCAAGTTTCCAATAACTTCTCTTCCATGACCAGCAAAGATTAATCCTAATGCAAATAAAGATCCACCTTTGGTATGAGCAGTACCGGATGACCCAGGTAAGTATGGTTTCAAGATAGTTCTACCTTGTGATAAGTTTCCCTTATGAATGACCCCAAGGGCAGCAGTGGCTGAGAATTTAGACCAATTGGTTGCTCTACCTAACCATTCTAAATTCTTTCTAAAGAACGAATCATCAGTTGTACCTGCATGCATGAAAGCATTGGCAAATGTGACTGCAGAATGGAAAATAGAACTTCTTCCTTCTAACAAGTTTTTAGTTTTGTTTAAAATTGTAATATCAGTATTGTTGTTTTTGTATAAAAATGTGTTATCTAAATCACAGGTTGGAACACCAGTTAAAATATTAAGGATTCTTGAACCAACAACATTGCTTTCAGTGGAAGCGGCAATGCCTTGAGATAATTGAGTGTGAACTGTTTCCAATAATTCTTGAGATGCGGCATTGACTAAATCAAATGCAGCTTGATAGGCAATCAAAGCTTCATCTTGTTTGATTAATTCTTGGAATAATGTTACTGCAATATTAGAATCATTCAATTGAACAATAATCTTAATGATGGTAAAGAAATCTTGATGCTCTTTCAAGGTTAATAACAATGAAATTAACGAATTTAAAACTTGAGTTCTAAAAGTTGAATTCTTAATTGTTGAATTGGAACAAACCAAAACATAATTTATTAAATTCAAACCTGTTTCTTCATTTTTAGATATTTGATCTTGAAGGATCTTTTCCACTACATCCAACCTAAAAGCTTCCAATGCAATACCAAGGGTTAATTTTACTTCATTTGAATGTAAACATTTTTCCAACATCTTTTCAAAAATTGAAGTTAATCTACCATCAATTTCCACGCTAGGATCTAAAAACTTACGTTGAGATAATGAATTATAAAGATTGATACATTGAGAAACCATGGTTTCCATATATTGAGATTGCTCTTCAATATTAAATTCATCACCAGCTGATAAAGAATATTTAACTGACGCATCAAAATCACCTAAATTATAATAAACTTTGGATATAATCAATGCAGCCAATTGTCTTTTGGAAAATGATTCATCTTCAAACAATTCTTCCAAGTCACTGATGTTATTGGCTATTTCTGCCCATAATTGATCAACTACTTCATTCAATGATGATAAAGCGTATTCCTTTAAACTATCATCTTGTTCACTTAATAATGCCAAGTATGGGGCTGCTGATACCAATGCCATTTCTTCTTTATTCTCTTTGTCTATATCAGTGGAGGGGTTGTGAATAGTGATTGTGTGTATTGTATGTAATGTCAAAGTAAATAAGATGATTTAAAGATGGAACCAAAGTGAATTAAAGTTCTTCAAGTGAATTGAAAATATTTGTTGCCACCAGAATAATTTGACAACCACTGAAAAAAAAAAGAATATACTATGAGAAATGTATGCAGGAAATATAAGTTACCCGGATTTGAAAAATGGAGCTTCTTAATACAAATGGTTATAAGACAATCTATTACTCCAAACACTTCCTATGGTTGTCCTATGGTTCTCCTGTTAGAGTATTTAAGACAAGTATAATTTCTGTATCTCCTTATAAGATCTGATTCGCCACTGAACAAGAAAGAGTATGTTCTACAAGGTAGCGTACTTCTAAACATCAGTTAAAAGGTAATCAAAACTCTATACTATTAAACTTATATATATATCAACTCACAAAGACAAAAAAACACAAAAAACATGAAGTAAAATTATAATTATCGCATTAGATTAGTCACCCTAATATAATAAACGAGTGGCAATCTTATATGGAGTTTGTTCCAATTGTTCATACAAACTCTTAATGTCGCTAAGATCAACATCTGAAATGTCAGCCATTAAGTAAGCAACATCACCTTGGGAATCAGTAAATTGTTTTTCAATATTATGATTAGAAAGAATGTTATTAACAGTCTTCAAAACACCTGGAACATTATGATGGATATATAAGACTCTGACAGTGTTTTCTTGATCTAAATCTAATCCTCTCAATGAAACTTCTGGGAAATTAACTGCACCTTGAGAATTACCTTCATTAATATATTTGGTTAAAGCAGTGGCAACTTCAATACCAATTGCTGATTGAGCTTCTTCAGTAGAACCACCAATATGTGGAGATAAGATCACATTTCTTAATGAGCATAATTCAGAAGCCCATGGGTTTAAACTATCATTGAATAAATCTTCTCCATTCTTGGCTGGTTCATGTGGGAAAACATCCAAAGCGGCACCAGCAATCTTACCGGCCTTCATGGCTTGAACTAATGCTGCAATATCGACAACAGTACCTCTAGAAGCATTGATTACATATGCACCATCCTTCATGGCTGCGAATTGTGGAGAACTTAATAAATTCTTAGTTTCTGGGGTGGCAGGAACATGTAAAGAAACAAAATCAGCTTTGGATAATAATTCATCTAAAGTAGGGACTTGTTTAGAGTTACCTAAAGACATAATAGTCATGATATCGTGATAGATAACATTCATACCCATGGCTTCAGCCAACACGGATAATTGTGACCCAATATGACCATAACCAACAATACCCAAAGTTTTACCTCTAATTTCCCAACATTTAGCACTGACTTTATTCCAAGTACCAGTGTGTAATTCAATTGAACGATCACCCAATTGTCTAGCTAAAGTAATAATTTCAGCAATGACTAATTCAGCAACTGATCTAGAATTTGAAAATGGAGAGTTGAAAACAGCAACACCTGATTTAGCAGCAAAATCTAAATCAACTTGATTAGTACCAATACAGAAACAACCAATAACAACCAAGTTTCTGGCATGCTTTAATACCTTTTCAGTTAATTTAGTCTTTGATCTAATACCAATTGCATGAACATCCTTAATTTTTTCAATTAATTCATCTTCTGGTAATGAAGATTTATAATATTCAACTTGATAACCTTGGTTTTGAAAGATATTTATAGCAGTAACATTAACGTTTTCTAATAATAAAATCTTGATATCACCAGTTGAAAATGGTTTTAATGCCTTGGTTGGCTTGGCTGGAACATATTGACTTAAATATGAAAAATTTGGAGAAGTGGAAACAGCATTTGGAGAACTTGAGAGATTCAATGCTTGTTGGAAAGTAGCAGCAATTTGTTGTGGAGATGACATTGTTTATGAATGTTTGTTTTCAACTGAATTGAGAATTGTCGATGGAAAGACAGAAAGAAAGCAAAGGATAAATTCTGAAAAACTTTTTCAAAACGGGATGGTTATAAATAAAAAAAGTTCTGTTGCAACAAATTCCGGAGCGGGTTTTGGTTGGTGACTAATGACAGCACGTGATATCAACAAATTTTTTCAATTGAATTTGAAATTAAATTAATGAGTCAATTTCAGAAGGTAATAGAGGAAGTAGTAAATTATGATGATGTAATAGATCAGAGTTAATTTACTTTATTTAAAACAAGAATTAGACCTTATAAAAGATTTCAGAAGTAATTTATATGATTACTTAATTGGAGGTTTACATGAATCATCTACTAAAATATAAGATGATGTAGTATTTTTAACTCTGATTCTAGAAGCCATTTTTGACTTCTGGTTATCAGATGACGCTCTTCAGAAGAAAAAAAAGACACTTCCAAAATGTCACCAACCGCCCACATGGACTTGTTGCAAAGCGATGACCTTTTACTATAAATCTAATCTCTTGAAACAATCGCAAAAAATTCCTTTCGATTTATCAACCAATATCTACATACAGACAGGTGAATTTTTTTTTTGATCTGTGAAGGAACTAATATATGAGCCCTGCGACCCCACTAAAACCCTAAAAATTAGAGCTTTAATTCTGTGAAGAGAGCAAACCATTAACGTAAATAGCACAATCGTTCTTACCAAGCGTACAATATCCGATGGCGTAGTGCCAATTCATGAATTAGTATTTTTGAAATCTCTTGTTAAACAAGAATATGGTGTTGAGTTCAAAGAAAAAGAATAGCGTAGAACATGAGCTCTTTTCTGATACCTTGATTTGTCCAACTCCTTAAAGCATTGATCTTGTATTCTATAATTTACGGTTTATTCTAAATCTGCTCATCTTTAGACTAATCAAGAGATTACAAAAGCTCCTATTCTTTATTCAAACTACTGCTGTCTGCCTGTAACTTTTGTGACTTAAAAAGCGTGAAACATTGGATGACTTAGTTCCCCTCTTTGATTCTATTGGTGATCAAGGAGTGCAATATATCAGCAGGCTTTCAAATCTGTACTTCAGGTTAACTGGCTGGTGAATATGAATAGTCCCTTGGTGAAACTATAGCATATCAAATTTTGCAACCCGAAGTTTGTTGCAAAAAAATGACTAGGTCTTACAATTTGGTTGTAAAAATAGCGAAATTTGGTTGTAAAAAATAAAATAATTACCACAACTACGGATCAGTTTTACCACCCATAGAATACCGTTTCTCGCACTATGTGTACTTTAGATTGAAGTTACTACCTTTAAGAAAGTTCATTCAAGTACCTATTGGCGCTAATGATTGTCTTTTCTTACCACACACATTGATTCAATTTTCATCCCTGAGATTCAACTACAGCAAGTTTAGAACTATGCTTTATTTGCAAGCTGGTTACCTTAGAAGACAATACAAATATGAGCTTAATAGGATAGAAGCGCTGGAGAATACTATTTATTCATATTTACATCCAATACATCGAAAGACTAATAATTTTGAAAAAGGCTGATTTGAAAATTTGTCCCATTGCGTGATAAGGTGATTTTGTTGAACAAATTTTAAGGTTTGCAATTTAGTTTGGGACAATTCAGCATCACCAAGTTCTGTAGTGCTTGACCATGCGACTAATGATCTATTTACAACTCTGAAACATGCGACGATGTATATCGTATTGTCCGAGCAAATTAAGCGAACACAATAATAATTAATGGAAGTATTGTTAAATGGAAATATTGTCAAATGTTGGTCTTATTGTTCGCAGGGTGCCATTTCCCGGGGAGACTGGTGGCTCATAAAAGTGTTATTATTAGCTATGCAACACAAAGTTTTAGAAACCACGCTATTTAATGTAGTTGAAGTACATGTACGCATATTGTTAAGCTTTTAGAGAGAATATGATCCTTACATTTTTACGGTAATAGTTATTGGGTATGCACCAGTATTCACCGGAGGACGGATATGCTTGAGTTATAAAAGAATTTTGGAATTTTTGTGGCAAAAATTAGGTTGGTTACCACGAGGGATTTTTGCACAAACAACAAAAAAAAAAGGTCACAAGACGAAAGAAGCTTAGAATTTACTTATTAGATATCCAGAGATAAGGACATAAGACCCTTGATACAACGTGCAGTTCCTAATTAATAAAGCCGGTCTAAGTACATATTAATTTATTGGTTGCAAAATCATATGATCAAATCGGAGTTGCTTTCGGCTTACAGAATTAACAAGACAGTTTTTTAATTACAAGAAATGTTTACCACCGAGGAATGACTTAAGAACCCTTTTCTTAGTCATTTTTTTCCCCTCCAAAGGACAGAGCGACAAACAGAAATTTTAGGTGTCATTATTTGGATTAAAGTACACGACTGCTCTTATAAAAAAATAAATGACGTTACTGAAGCTAGGAAGTAACTATATGGTTTAGCGCAAGACGGCTGGGGTCCAATGATCCCGGGTACAATCCTAAGGATATATTGAGTTGTTTTTTTGAATTTGGCTTGGGAGGAGCCATCTATTTATCTAACATTGTTTGTGGTTTTGTATCTTATTCCCATGTGTGTTTACTTTGTTCATTTTTAGAAAATTGCAATGTGTTGCTTAATCAATTAAATTAAAATATGCAAATCTAAAAAATATTAAAATTTTTAATAAAAATAAAAAAATAATAAAGTCACTAAGAAATGAAAAAGAAATTCAACATTTAATTTAAAAAAAAACCACGCATAATTTAATTTAAAAAAACCAAAAAAAGTATCTTCCACATAAGTCTACTTGATATTCTTACTTTCTCATTTTTAATCTTTATAACAGACTAGGGGAACTACGTGCTAATATAAGGGGCGAATTAGAGAGAAACACATTTCCCAATACATACACACACATATACATTCCCCATATTTAAAAATTTCATAATTATTAGTCATACCCCACATCTATTTCCAAAATGCTCAACCCAAGAAGTTTTAGTTTTGACAAAATTAAACAGAAGATGACCGGAAGAAGAACATCGGAAGCTTCCATATTAGAAATAGCATCGACTAACAACAGAAGGAAAAGTATAGACATACTGGGTTCCAATGATGATCGGCTGAAGTCTCAACAACAACAAGATCCGAAAAGAAGGACACAATCGATATCGTTTATGCCTCGATCCCGGTCATTATCCAAATCTACAACCAATCAGCAACAGGCATCCCTTCATTTACCACATTTATTTAAAGTGAATACAAGAGATTTGGTTAAACAGGAAACGGCCACAATCATTCTGAAGAAATTGATTCATATGTTACAAGATTTAGGCTTACAAAATCCAATACCTTTGGACACAACCCTGAATGGATCTCCTTCCAAAAACGTCAAGATATACGTGGCTAACTCCCATGATTGCATATTTTTACCCCCTGCATCATCCACTAGTTTTACATATGAAGATGTAGAAAATGGTGGTACAATACCAATAATCCTTGAAGATGAAATCTTAACAATGCCTGAAACAAATGCATATGCGCAAGGTAGTCTGATGTCATTACCAGAACCTTTAGAAGCAGCTGCGGATCCAAACCATCACCTTCACAGTAAAATGAAAGGATTCACTTCACCAAATTACTTGTGTACAAAGATTGATTCAGAACATCCAATACCTCATACATTTGCTGTTGTTGTGGAAGTATTAAAAGACGCTACAGTTGTGAAAGATATTAAGTTTGAATTTGAATCACTTACTCATATTCTTTGGCCAACTGATGACCCATATAATAAATTTCATAATAAAGAAAAATTCAAAATTGGATATATGGATTGGCGAACGACATTAGCCGATGCAGATTATTATATCAATAGCTCCAATTCTAATGATGTGAAGCTGAAAAATTTAGGTCCAGAAGATCTAGCTAAACGTACTCGTGAATACAATTTAATCAATGTACGAGATTTGGCAGATGGATTAGATAAATATAATAAAAAGGCATCTGCGTCAGTAAGCTCATTGCCATCTTCAGTGGATCTGTCATCTAGAACTCCCGCAAATGACACATATAAAGCCGGTCTTTATGTATTCTTATTGCCTATACTTTTACCAGAACATATTCCTGCAACCATCGTTTCTATAAGTGGTACATTAAATCATATCCTTTCAGTTAGTGTAAACAAAATGTCAGAAAAGTTAAATCGAAAATTGAAAGTTGAGGCATCATATAATTTACCAATGGTGCGTTGTCCACCAAATTTGGCCGATTCGATAGCCAATAAACCGATTTATGTTAATAGGGTTTGGAATGATGCTGTGCATTATATTATAACTTTCCCAAGGAAATATGTTCCATTAGGTTCAGAACATGTTATGAATGTGAAATTAGTTCCATTAGTTAAAGATGTGATTATTAAACGAATTAAATTTAATGTTTTAGAAAGAATTACTTATGTTTCCAAAAATTTACAAAAAGAATATGATTACGATAGTGAAGATCCATTTTTCCTTAATACTCATACTAATAAAATCAGAGAAAGAATTGTTTCATTATGTGAATTGAAAACCAAAGCAAAACAAACTGGTAATGGTTATTCCGATCCTTATAAGGAAGAAGTCATCAAATGTCCTGATAACAATTTACTTTACTCATGTTATGAAATAGAAGATCAACCTGGTCCTTTCAGATCTAGAAAACCAAAAGACAATAAAGAGAACAAACCAATGATTGCATCACCATTGGATATAAATGTTGCGTTACCCTTCCTTACCTCCAAGTCTGATAAACAATTAAGAACCCTGAATATTGTAGATGATGCGGACAGCAATACCCCAACACCAGTTCGTACATCTACAGGATCAGTAGGGTCTGTTTCAATGGCTCATGGGCAACCAACTTCAAGAAGAGCATCACTTGTATCTGACCTATTCGCACCATTGGCCCCAGTTTCATCCCCTGTCATTGGTGCATTAGAGACCAATTTGGCCAATCATGATGAAGTTGGACCTCATGATTTCGTGAAACCGAAAACTTCAAATTATATTACAGATGATTTGAGTTCTAGGCATCATCCCCCAGAAAATATTCAACATGGTTATACAATTGTTTCAAGGGCATTATATCCTGATTCTAATTTCCGACATATTCAAATCAATCATAGATTACAAGTATGTTTCCGAATTTCGAAACCTGATCCAAAAGATGATTATAAAATGCATCATTATGAAGTTGTGGTTGATACTCCATTAGTATTATTAAGTGCAAAATGTAATGAAGGTTCAATGCAATTACCAGAATACAGTGAACTTGAATCCGATATATTTTCATCCCCATTATCAACTGGTCCAGGATCAGTACCAACACCACCACAAACAGCAGTTTCATTCAGAATACCAAATTATCAACATAATGGAGTCAAGATTTCTTCATGGGATCCTGAATTGGGTGAACATGATGAACATTTACCTAGTTTTGAAGAAGCAATATCTGTCCCAAGTAGTCCAATCACTAGATCTAATTCTTCGGAAGGTAGTGATGAAATGGTTAGTTGTACCAAGATTCCATCGATTGTTATTTCTCCAGATGAACCAGCTCCAGCGTATGAAGAGACTGAGAGGATTGAATCTATTGATACGATTGTGAATGACGATCCGGTTGATGTGGAACCTGCAGCTGGAGAGATAGGAGTACCTGTTTCGAAGATCAAGAGTAGTCTTTCGTCGTCATTTGCTACTAAGAAAGGAACGTCAGCGGATGCCTCTGGTGTCAGTAGTGCTTGTAGTGGCAGTCATGAAGGTGCAGAGCTTGCCAGTGGAAATAGTGGTTGTAGCTGTGATAGTAGAACTGGAAGTCTTTCATCCGAGGAGGGAAGTATTGACTCTGGATCTATTGCCAGTGAAGATTCAACTCCACTATCATCCTTCCCAGACAGCACCAGCCTCCCTGCATCTAAAGGAGAAGAAAATAACAGAGACAATGATGATGAAGAAGAAGGACCACAATCAATAGAAAGTGATACTACCAGTGAAGATGCTGATGAAATTACTGAGATTACACCAACAATTAGAACCAAGAATCTTAGAGTGACTGATGAAGATGAGGAAGATCAAGCTGGTGATGAAGATGAGATTTATGAACAGAAAATCCCGTTGTTGAATCAGATAGCTGAGAATGAGGTGTTGTGTTGTAGTGAAAATGATGTCAATGACAATAATAATGGTGATGATTTAGGACCAAAACAAGCTATTTATCATACTTGTATTCAATAAGGATATTTTCAATATTTCTTTTGTATAATTTTTTATTTAATTCAAATGCATTTTAGAAACGTCTTAATATAATAAACTGTAGACTCTATACGAGAGGTTGATCGTATAATAAATCATCTGATTGCAAAAAATGTATTTTCTTACAAATGCTACCAAATTGATTGGAGCGAGTTGACCCCCCACCAAACAAAACCTCAAAGCATCGAAATTTTTCACCTAATCCCTTATCCTATACTTCTAACCACATCCCACCCCAGCCCCATATGTCACTCGCTAAACTTCCACCCAATGCCAAAGTTGCAGTCTTAGGAGCCGGTATCCTGGGTCTTTCATTCACATACTTCCTCCATAAACTCCGACCCGACGTTCAGTTCCACATCTTTGAAAAATCCCCTCGAAGTGGGGGATGGATCAATCTGTCCCACCTCCATGTCAAATCAACAAATGAACAAATAATTTTGGAAAAAGGTCCCAGAACTCTTCGTGGAGTGAAGGATGGAACTGTGATCATGATCGATATATTACGAAACTTGAACAAGGAGAGAGAGATTGAGATTATGACAAATGATTCGATCGCAAATCGGAAATATGTCATGAATGCCCAACAACAACTCATACAAATTCCAAATTCGTTCATGAGTTTGGTTAAGTTTTTAAAAGGGATGAAACTCATGAATGGGAGGTTGTTGATTGGGATATTACGAGAGCCCTTCGTGCCGGTTTTGCAAGAGGATGAGAGCATTGAAGGATTTTTCACGAGGAGGTTTGGGTCGAGTTTGTGGATAGATAATCTTGGTAGTGCGGTCATACATGGGATATATGCTTCTGATGTTGCTAAGTTGAGTGTGATGAGTACGTTGCCGGTTTTGAAGGAGATAGAGAGGGAATCTGGGTCTATTGTGAGACACATGTTGAAGTCATTGTTTGGTCAGGTAAAGAAGAAGAAGAATGAGGAGCGCGCGAAAGTTGTTTCTGATGAATTGACACAATATGAGAGGTTGATCTCTCCAGATGGAAATATGAATGGATTATTGACAAAATTGAAAGGAATCCCAATGATAAAACTACATAACGGATTAGAAGAATTACCAAGGGCGATGACTAATTATTTAGCCAATGAGAAAAACATTAAAATTCATTACAATTCACCAATAAAAGAAATAGATCCAATATCTGGAAAAGTCAATGGGGAATCATTTGATCATATAAGATCTACGATAAATACTCACGCTTTATCAAATGCTTTACCCAGCAACAATCCATTACGAGCAAATTTATCCTCCATTGAATATGTGAATATCTTTTTATGTAATATTTACTCTAAGAAGAAGATAATTCCTCTGGCAGGATTTGGATTTCTTGTTCCTAAGTTTGGCAACATTTCATTAAATCCCCAAGCACATCTCGGAACGATATATGATTCTGATATTGAGAAGAATGTGATTAGTTTATTTGGTGAAAGAAACCAACAAGGGCAACAAGAAGGATATGATAAAATTACTATTATGTTAGGTGGACATTATTATTCTAATTGGGAAATCCCATCTAAATCTATAAATTTACAAATTATCTATGAAATTTTGAAATCTAAATTGCGGATTGATTTGCAGAAATTTAATATCAAGATTATTGATGAAACAATGACAATTGATACTATTGATGAAAATGATTTAATCATTTCTTATAATTATCATAATAGTTGTATACCAGTGTATGGTGTTGGATATTTGGATACGAAAGCAAAAGTGATACAAACGATCGAGGATAATCGCTATAAGTTGTCATTTGGAGGTACTGTATTTGCCGATGGTGTTGCTGTACCAGATTGTGTGAGTAATGCCTTTAAAGATTCTATGAAATTAATGTAAATAGATGCAAATGTTATATGATACTTTTTCTTAATCTTCTTCGTAATGCGGTAGTTCTTCTTCATCTCCGTCACCATTCTCAGATTTATCTTCAGTCTTAGTCTCTCCCTTTAGCTTTGTTATCAATTTAGATTCATTTGTTGAATAATTAATCATCAAAGGTTTATCAAAGAATTCTTCTTGTTGTAAACTTCTTAAAGCTAATGATGCCAGAGAGACATTGGCAAAAAGTATATGGGCATGACCTTTGGCTAATCGTATTTGTATTATATCTCCATAAGTAGAGAAGAGTAAATATAAATTATGTTTTAATTGTCGATGATTAATTTTATCATTGAGATTCTTGATGTATAAAGTTTGCGATGGCTCTAAATTGGTTTGATCTAATTTGGTTCGTTTTATCTTAGGCTGCTGTTGTGGCGGTTGCTTCAACTTTGGTTGCTTCCCACCGGATGGCGCTGTTCGTTTACTTCTTGGTGGCATGTCACTTAATATGAATATTCTATTACTGTTGAATGATGGAACATGAATAGTATACAATTTAGTTAGGGTGTGGAAAATTATTCAAAACGAAGATCACATGATATGAGTCACATGACATAAATCACATGATAAATGTCACATGATACAAATCAGATAATCGTATAAATGAAATTCGTGTAAATAAGTTTAACAAGAAAAAAAACAACTCCACTCACTTAACAAAAAAAGAATAACTGGAATTGCCGTCCCACGCCGTAAAATTAAATTCTTTAACCAAATTTAGAAATTTCATTAACTTTCTTTCTTTTATTCAATAATCCCAACTGTTTTTCTTACACAAGTAGAATACAACACAACACGACCCTATAAATTCAAATAGATCAAATAGAGAAGAAAGCGATTTAAAGTTTTTTGACATTTTGCAACACACAAAATATTCAACATAAAACAAAACTGATAGAATCCTGTTAGCCCTGATTCAAAAGAATGTCAGACAAAAACAATTCAACAAGTGGAGATACATCTATCTCATCATCATCATCTACTTCACAATTGAGTAGTTCATTACTCAGATTGAAATTATTGGATGCTTTAAGAGGTGGTGATAATCAGAAGATTGATTCAATTATAAATGAATTAGCTTCATGTAAAACTCATACTTTACAAACTCAAGATATTGTTCAATTAAAAGAAACAATATTCCATTATGCTGTTCAAGTTGCTTCCTTAAATGTATTACAATTCTTAATTTCAAATCTGAATAAATATAATATTGATATAAATGCTCAAGATAAAGATGGTAATACTCCTTTACATTTGGCAGCAATGGCAAATCGTTTAGATATTGTAAAATATTTATTATCATTACCAAATATTAATGATACAATTGTTAATTTAAATAAAAAACAACCAGTTGAAGTATGTAAAGATGTAACTATTGCTCAATTGATGCAATTTGAACGTGCAAAATTTGTGGAAAAATCTGCCGGTGAATTAAGAGCCTTTTTCAGTAATCGAGATTTTCAAAATTTAGAAAATTTATTAGTCAACAATCCAAGAGCTTCAGAATTATTAGATATTAATGGTGCTGATCCTGAAACTGGTAACACTGTCCTTCATGAATTCATTTCCAAAAATGATATTGAAATGTGTGATTGGATTTTAAAACATGGCGGTGATCCATTCAAAAGAGATAAAAGAGGGAAATTACCAATTGATTTAGTTCATTCTAACGATCGATTAAAAAAATTACTTAAATCAGCAAGAAAGGATCAAAATATCATGGATCCAGTAGCAACTACCAGTAACGCAATCAAAACTGGTAATGCTCCCACTTACAAAGGTTATTTACGTAAATGGACCAATTTTGCTTCTGGTTATAAATTAAGATATTTCATCTTGGATCTGCAAGGAATTTTATCTTATTATACTAATCAAGAAGATACAAATAATGCATGTCGTGGATCCATAAATTTAGCATATTCATCATTGCATTTAGATTCTTCAGAAAAACTGAAATTTGAAATCCATGGTAAGAATGGACTTAGTTGGCATTTAAAAGCAAATCATCCAATTGAAACTAATAGATGGGTATGGACATTACAGAATGCAATCACAATCGCTAAAGATAACATAAAGAGAAAACGTACCTCAACTGGAGGTGGTGGCATGATTGCTGAAAATGATGAATCATCAACACTTGAGAACCCTCCAGTTAGGCATAGCATTGATGTTTACGGACCTTACGCAGGTAATGGACAAGAAGAAAAGAAACCTAGTCGACTTAAAAGAATCGGCCGTAAATTCAAGAGCCACAGCAGAACTTCAAGTCAAGTCTCACTTACTTCTTTTACTTCCGAATCTCATGATGAATTAGGGAAAAGGATGTCCCGATTGTCTCGAAGTATGGATGAACAAATTAGTACTCGAAACTCATCAGGCTTTGAATATGGTATTGGTGATTTAGAAACTGGTATTCCCGATGAGGAGGATGATTATGACAGTGACACCGAATCAAGTCAAGATTTAACACCCTTGAATGACCAAGCTGCGGCTTTGAAAAGGTCCCTCGACGTCGAATTGGCATGTTTACTTGATCTTTTCGAACAAGCCAACAAGGAAGAAAATCTCCAATCTGATTCAAAACAGGCAATCGAAGTTTATCATGTCGGAAAATCCACCATTGAATCAATTGTTGACTTAATCAAGAAATATAACACTATTATTGAAACTCGTGACTCTAAATTGAAACGTAGTTTAGAAAGACAATTAGAAATCAATAAATTATGGGAGAGTTCAATTCAACAACTTGAACAAGAAATGAAGGATCGTGAAACAAAATTATTAGAATATCAAGATCAAAAGAAACAACTAAAGAGATTGATTGGAAAGCAGCAATCATTCCCATCACCAGTCCTATTAGCAAAAGAAGAAGAACTTGTTTCTCCATTACCTTCCAAAACTGGTTCAAATGAATTTTATTCACCAACTCGTGCATTAAGTCCCAAACCAGTTGAAGAACAAATTAGAGAAGTGGATCAAATGTTGAAGCAGGACGAGAAACCACCTGTTTTGGTTAGCGGAGGTGTTGAAGTTCAAATTAATGATATTCTTGGAGAAGATTCCGATAATGATGAATTCTTTGATGCTGACGAATTTGAAGATGAAGAAGAAGTGATATTTGAACAGCCGGCGGAGGAGATTGAAATCGAGGAAAAATTGGTTCCAAGTGTAGAAATTGCCAAAGCAGTCGAAGTGGAAGAAGAAACAGCCGAAGTGGAAGAAGAAGAAGTTGAAGGACTCAATCCTGTTCAAAAGAATGCTCTCCAATTAATCAAGAAGGAAGAATCATTTAAAGGGTACGAAAATCCACCAAGAAAGAAATTATCCATGGATGAAGATAATAGACCGAAAGTTGGTCTTTGGGGAATTTTGAAATCCATGATTGGTAAAGATATGACAAGAATGACCTTACCTGTTTCATTTAATGAGCCTACTTCATTATTACAAAGGTTGACTGAAGATATTGAATATTGTCTGTTATTAGATCAAGCATGTCAATTTGATGATTCTACCTTACGTTTGATCTATGTTGCCACATTTGCTGCCACTGAATATTCTTCCACCATTAATAGAATTGCGAAACCATTTAATCCTCTTTTGGGAGAAACATTTGAATATTGTCGTCCGGATCAAAATTATCGTTTAATTGTTGAACAAGTTAGTCATCATCCACCTATTAGTGCTTGTCATGCTGATTCACCTAAATGGGATTATTATGGAGAGAACGCAGTTGATTCGAAATTCACTGGGCGTTCATTTGATTTCAAGCATTTAGGTAGGATGTTTTGTGTCCTTCGTCCTGATCACGGGGTGGTAGATAGAGACAACAAAGTTGTCCCAGAAGAGCTTTATACGTGGAAAAAAGTCAATACCGCCGTTGTTGGTATTATGCTAGGAAACCCTACAGTTGATAACTATGGAAAAATGATTGTCGAAAATCGCACCACGGGAGATCTGATTATCGTCGACTTGAAACAACGTGGATGGAGAGCATCTTCAGCCTATCAACTATCAGGACAAGCCCTTGATCGTTATGGCAAACCACAGTGGGCCATGGGCGGTCACTGGAATTCGAAAATATACGCCAAGAAGATCCCTCAACATGAGTCAATCGAGGATATTGAACAACAACGACAAAGAAGAAATTCATTATTGGAAGAACCATCAAGTCGAGCAGTCACGACAACTGATCCATTCCAGGGACTGAAATTCTTGGTTTGGCAAGTTGCTCCTCGTCCAAAAGTCCCATTCAACTTGACTCAATTTGCAGTCACATTGAATGGAATTGATGATAATTTGAAATCATGGCTAGCACCTACTGATACCAGATTAAGACCTGATCAAAGAGCAATGGAGAATGGTGAGTATGATTTTGCGGCAGATGAGAAGCATAGGGTAGAAGTTAAACAGAGGGCGGCCAGAAAAGCGAGAGATGAAAGTGGAGCCCCATATATTCCTAATTGGTTCATTAAGAAGAAACATCCAATTACTGGTGATGCATTTTGGGAGTTTAATGGGAAGTATTGGAAAGAGAGACAAGCAAAGAGATTGGCTGATACTGGCGATATCTTTTAGATAATTAATAAAGAGACAGACAGAGAGACAGCGAGAATTGTAGTTGTATATTGTTTTGAGTTGATGTGTGTTTTCTAGTTTAAATTTTAATAAATTAATACAGTGATAAATTTGCATTCTATTTCTTAGTTGGAGTTGTGATGTACTTCAGAATACGGCTCTTATATTTAGGGTGGGCTATATTTGAGAACAGCGCTACAACCTTCTTTCTAGGGTCCTTCCGGTTCAGTTTGAAGGGATTGTTTGAGCTTCAGCTTGTGACATCCATCAACATTTCATAGCCTTCTGTATGAACTGGTAGCATCTCGAAATAATAAGCTGATATGACATCATCTTCTAATTGTCTTGGGGTTAAGAATTTCAAGACTGTACATCATCCTATTCTTCTAACCATGCAAAGCGGATTAAACTCTTGATCAGTTTTAATATGACTATGGGGAATGACTAACAACCCCACCTTTGTCGAAATAAAGAACTTAGTTTACAACATTCTCTTTGTTTCCAATTAGATTCATAAATCCCCTTAACATCAAACTTTCAAATTAAATTTAAGTTCAAATTACCCTCTTAAGTATCATTAACAAAGATAAAATTCCTGGGTTCCACATCAACCTGGAAACACATAAATATCATAGACAAACGTTCCATATAAGCTAATTTACAATGGGGTCAGCACAAATAGACATCGCCAGAACTTATCCAAAATTGAGTAAAGTCGAATCGAAAGAAGAGTTAATTTCGACTCTTCACGGGATGCTTAAATTTTATAAGAAAGGACATCGTGAGTATAGATCGTACAAAAATTTGATAATTACAGGTGTTTATCTTGGTTGGTCAGTCGAAGAGAGAGCTATTTTTGAAGCTTTCCTCGAGAAGCATAAACAAAAAATACAAAACTTCATTCAAGAATGTAGAAGAAATCATGGCAAAGCAGTTTTGGATATTCCAATGCCTCCTTTGGGTATCAGTGTTAATACATTTAAGAATTTTTTGAATTATTTTGATACACCGAGATTCTGGCAGAACTTTAGATATCTTTCCATTATTGTTAAAGCGGTAGAGTGCGGGAAGGATTTAGAAACAGCTTTGACTGACAGCAAGAAAACTCTAGAGACGAGTTTAAAAGAAGCAATAAAAATCTAATAACATTCAATCAATTGGAGAAATTGGTTCTTGAAATAAACAAACCCATGATTCTCTAAACAATGCTAAATCATTATTTACTAAAATTGAAGCGAATTGGAAAGAATTAGATTTCGATGCAACTCACAATAGGTAGGTGTAGGTGTATAGGACATTCAATAAACGATTCTTTGGTTCGGCTGGCTATATTGAAGCAATCTCTATATGTTCATGAGCTTTGTTTAGGTGAGCATATAGTTTCAAACACACAGCAAACGTTTCTTGAACTCGGCCGAAATTGATATTTTCTTAAAATAGGTTTGTCCGAGCACAAAAAATCACTTCAACCACAAGTGTCTGTATCTGTAACGATGCTTGGGTGATCAAGACTCTTCCCTAGATTTGCTGTCTCAGTTCCGTTATGTCCTCTCAGTTCGCGTGGCTGCAAAATTTGTTTTTGTGTATTTAGCTGTTCACTCTGGACTTGTATACCGTTTTGACTTGGGGTTTTGAGGTAGAATATCTTGTTACAGGAAACTCAATGCTCACTGACAGGGCCGTTTTACTTGATATGAGAGCATTGACTTTTCATATTATTTTGCACCGTGAAAAAATCGGGGAATTACAGTTTTAAAAAGGCTAAAACAAGCTTCAGTCAAAGGAGCAAAACATTAATAGGGTAATTATAGTTTAAAGCTCCTCTTAAGTCCCCTTCTAATTATAATCCCCGCTCTTCTGAATAGCTATTTAATCGAAGTATTTATATTCTCGTTTTGCTCAACTAGCTTCAGACCAGGTTCAGTATTGGTCCCGATCAACATCCAGAGAATTGAAGTTGATTTTTGCCCCCCGACATATCAATAAGACACAAAAGATATCTACACTGTTCACCAAATCATCTACTCACAAACTGAATCAATACCAGGCAAACAGTTCTAACTTGAAATCCTTCATAATGCGATTTCCTTTCGATGATCCAGTTTTAATAGACCTACGTAGAACGCATAAGGAGTTATGTAACGTTAGAAATTTGGAAGAACTAGATACAATGATTAAGGTAATGCTTGGAGTGTACCAAAAAGGAGACCCTGTATACAGATCTTATAAAAATTTGTTAACAGCGATGCTTTATCTTAAATGGGAACCTGAAGAAAGGAGTATTTTTAGAGCTTATTATGAAGAGCATAAAGATACAATTGAAAAATTTAGAGAATGTCGCAAAAATCCAGGTGGGGTAGATTTAGACCTTCCAACCCCTCCTTTGGGAATTAGTCTTGGTAGATTGAAGTGTTTCTTTGGATATTTTGATACAGGTCGATTCCAACAGAATTGTAATTTTATTCGACTTGTAGAAAAGCGAATGGAGACTGGGAGACATCCGGTAACGTTTTTCCTGGAGGAGAGATTCAAGCTTACTCAGAAGTCAACTGAGGAAAACACTGGTCCATCTCAATTGAGTAAACATGAGGATTTGGAGGTTACTATTTAGAACCAAACCCGACAACAAGCCCGATAATTTCAAATTTGTTTGATCTCTAACATGTGGTAGAAACTACGCCCGTTTCGTCTAACAAAATCGAAGCACTTACTTCGGAGGTCGGTTTAAGTAAGTATATAGTTCAATTCAATAAACGTATCTAGAACTCGACCAAAGGAACAGAATTCTAGTCCAAATAGAGCAAAAATTAAGATGGTAGCACCGCACCTGATTTACAAAAAATAAATCTCATCTCATCGCATCTCTTACCATTCCCAACTACGAATCAACGACTAGCCATAAGTATGGGAAAGAAGAAATCCAATGCAGCTAATGCTGCTCAAGTGTTAGAATCATCTGTATCCCCAATTCTTGAACTCAATTACAAAGACCCATTATTCACCGTCGCCGCACATCCAACCAAACCAATTTTAATCTCAGGTCAAGTCACAGGACATGTATATTGTAATACCTACAATGCCGACGAATTAGAAGAAAAACAACAAGCCAAAAGAGAATCGATATTAGAATCCGAGAAAGAAGCATTTGCAAAAGGAAAGATTTCCCAAATCAACACATCTGTATCCCAACTGAAAAAGAAATGGTGGACCATTATTGAAGACAATACCGAAATTCCTGAAGATTCGTTACTTACGACAAATTGGAAAACCAAAAGACATAAAGGATCCTGTCGTCATGCTATATTTGAGCCATTGGAGAATTCAGTAGGTGAGTTTATATATACTGTGGGTACGGATAATATGATCAAACGAGCACTGACTGAAACTGGGAAAGTTGTGGGCAAACATACCGTCACCCCAGATTATCCGAACCCAAAGGATTCGATTACGAAATTATGTCATTCAACTACACATGCATTCTTATTGGCCGGGACTGAAAATGGACATGTATTAATCTAGTATAGTGGAAATTTGAGCAGTGCTAGTAACACATCCTTAAAATTCAAAGTCAATCAAGCTCATGACGATTCTATAAATCATATATTAGCCATGCCTGCCGTTTCAGCCTATCATTATCTCACATTAGGATCTACAACACTTTCACATATCGATATACGAAAAGGAATAATCACCCAATCAGATAATCAAGAAGATGAACTCCTCGCCATGTGTTTTCCCTCGGATTACATTTCTGATAACAAGAATGACACGGTCTTGGTTGCACATGGAGAAGGGATCGTTACAATTTGGAAGGATTCCAAGAATAGGTTCATGGACCAATTATCTAGAATCAAGGTCAACAAATCCGCTTCTATTGATTGTATCATGCCAACCATGAATGCTGATGACGAAGAGATGACGAATTCGGTGTGGTGTGGAGATAGTGAAGGGTTATTACATCGAGTTAATTATAAAAAGGGGAAAGTTGTTGAGACTAGGGTTCATTCTCTGGCGAGGGGGAAGTATGGTGCAGTTGATGAGGTGGGTATTTTAGATATTGATTATGATTATAGATTGATTAGTGCTGGGATGGACAGTTTGAAGATTTGGTCGAATAGGGAAGTAGCTGAAGATATTGCGAATTATGACGAAGACAGTGATTTGGAGGACTCCAGTGATGATGAAGTGGGTGTCGGTGGTTCTGGTAGTGACAGCGACGAAGATAGTATGGGCCCACTGGATTTCAGTTCTGACTCTGAGATAGAAGGTGGTAGCACTAGTGACATCGACGAGGAAGAGAAACAAGAAGAAGAAGCAGGAGAAGAAGACGATGAAAGTGAAGACAATGAGGATGTCTTCGAAGAAGAGAAGGAAACGGAAGAACCTCTTCGTAGAAAGCGTCCAGGACTCAGTCAAGTAATTTCGAAGCCAAAAAGAAGAACCATTGATATTAATAAATTAACCAAGAAAGAGAAAACCCAAGGCGATGAAAAAGTAGAAGAAGAAGATAAAGAAAACGAGAAGAAGGCTTTAGCTAAGTTGAAAGAAAAGAAGTTGACAACAAAGCAACTTCGTAATATGCAAAAGCATGAACATGGTATTCGTAAATTTGAAGGTTTATAGACTTACTGCTGTTGTTAGTTTTCTCTTAATATTTGAGTTCTTTCTAAATAATGGAGATTGCATTCGGAATACAAGTAAATATACTAATATACTAACCTCTACTATGTGCCTATCTCCTACTTGTAGTATGATGAACTCTTGTTCTTTAGATTGTGGGAATGCCATGACTGGTAATGGATCAGACAGTAACAAGCGTATCGGTGAGCCTTCCCGAATGCAATGCACAAAATCAGTTCGTACACATTAGTTTTTGAACCTATACACAGAATTTATCAATTAAGTTGATTTAGCAAGAGTCAATCAACTGATAACTTACTGAATAATAGCCCATCCCTTTACTTCCCTTTATGCTATTACTCACCTGAAACAACCTACAAGTGAATTTACAAAAAGAAGAACAAGAACCAGAAGAATCTTAATTTAATAATTTTCTTTTTTCTATTGAATATTTTTTATGGTTCAAAATTGAATGAGATTTCTATCTTTATTTACAACTGGTTACTAGTTGATTGATATAGATTGCTAATAGAACATAGATACACATACATAGTTAATGAAAGTAAGAATATGGATCAACTGAAAGTATTAACATTCAATGATGTCATATTAAACAGAAGAGGTTATTCTATTACAGGTACTTTATTATTATCTCCTTATCATTTAGTTTTCTCTTTTATACCTACTGGTACATCATCATCATCACAACAACAACAACCAAAAGAGATATGGATATGTTATCCAATTATAGAAAGAATGTCAAAAGCAAGAGGATCATTCTGGATCAATAACAATAACAACAACACTACCACTACCACAACCAATGACATATCATCATCAACATCAACACTTACCTCGCCACCACGAATGGCCAACGAACACTTTGATCATTATACTGCATCTCATATACGTATCCAGTGTAAAGACTTCACATACTATTCATTCGATTTTATGAATGATACAATCTGCATAGAAGCTTTCTCAAAATTAAGTTCCCTTATCACAATATCTAAAACTGAAAATGATATTCGTGCTTTATATGCTTATGAATATCGTCCAAATATGTTAGAACAATCTTTAGAAACCAAAGGATGGGACTTGTATGATCCAATTGATGAATACACCCGATTGGAACTAATAGAAGAGAGCAACTCCACGTCATCATCCTATTGGAGAATATCAACTATCAATGATGACTATCGATTTTGTCCATCCTACCCCAAGGTATTCATAGTCCCCAATTCTATATCCGATAACGTCCTAAAACATGCCGGAAAATTCAGATCCAAAAACAGAATACCCGTAGTTGTATACAAGCATCGAGGAAATGTAAATGGGAATGTCATTGCTAGATGTGCTCAACCCTTGGTGGGATTAAATTTACAGAATAGATCTATACAAGATGAGAAATTAATTGGAGAAATCATGCAATGCCAAGATTTGGAACGACAAGAAAGGATATCTGAAGATAATGCCTGGCAAGACCAACCGCAACGGAATTTATTGATTGATTTGAGACCAATTGCAAATGCATTAGGTCAGCATGCTTTGGGTGCGGGCACGGAGAATATTGATAATTATAGAGGAAAGCAGACAGGTAGTAATAATAATAATAAAGAATCTAGTCCATCACCGACGAAGCCTGATAGTGGGAAGAATATTCGTCATGTTGAGAAAATATTTTGTAATATTGATAATATTCATGTCATTCGAGATTCGTTAAATAAACTAAGCACAATTCTAAATGATCTAGATAAATACCCAGCCAGCAACACCAACAACACCAATACAACCACAGGTGCGGCATTACAACAAGCATTAACCAAAACCCAATGGTTACATCGTCTTTCAATAATCCTTCAATCAGTTGACAGAATCACCAAATCGATCCATCTAAACAACACCAATGTCATAATCCATTGTTCTGACGGATGGGACCGAACATCACAAGTATCTGCATTGGCTCAATTATGTCTTGATCCATTCTATAGGACGATCCGAGGTTTTATGATCTTGATCGAAAAGGAATGGCGAGCATTTGGGTTTAAATTCGCCACCAGAGCTGATCATGGAGGTTGTATTGGAGCGATTATGAAGCAGAATGAACCATCACAACAACAAAAAGCAACAACTACTCCACAGGTTAAAGTAACACCAGCTCCTAATGGGGATGCTATATCGGAAACATCGGTCGAAAGTGCCGTTAGCGATGCCCCATCGACTACTACTACTGATCTTAAGACGGCAGCAGCTGCCGCGGGTGCAAGTGTGACATCCTTCCTCCAACGTGCCGCTCGTGCTGCTCGTGACATAAAAAACACGGCCCAGAGTGGACTCTCGTCACCGTCACCGGAGGACGCAATAGAGAATGGCCGTTTATTAACCAACACATCAATCTACGGTGGAAGTAGTGAACGTTCGCCTGTATTCCATCAGTTTTTGGACTGTGTATATCAGATCTATCGCCAACATCCCACGAAATTCGAATTCAATAGTCGGTTTCTAAAACGGTTATTCTATCATTATTATTCTTGTCAATATGGGAGTTTTTTATGTGATTCTGAATATGAACTATATGAGGTTTCAAAAGTTCATGAATCGACTGTCTGTGTTTGGGATTATTTCAATTCCAGACCGACTGAGTTTATTAATAGGACGTATAAGACAGAAGAGGATGTTGTTGATAATGGAGTGATTTTTTTTAATTTTGCTGATGTGAAGTGGTGGTTTGAATTATATGGAAGGAGTGATGAAGAGATGAATGGATTATCGAATTCTTTGGATAGGAAATTTGCTCAAATGAATTTGAATGGAAAAGAGAAATCCGGGACGCCTAGTTAGTAGTAATAGTAGGTAGTGTAACTATTTAATGTAATTATAGAATGTGTTGATGATGAGCTTTCTCTTCGTTTATAGAATTGCCAAATTTGGAACAATTCCGGATTTCGGATATGTCACAAAATCATGAAATTAAAAAAAAAATTAATATTTTTTATTTCACTTCGATTGTTGGATCTGATAAGGAGATCCACTTCTTCTAATATAAATACCCAGAGCTATCGATCTGATCTTGGTTGATCTAAGAGAAATATTGAAGATTATTAAGTATGAGTTGCTTTGTGAGGAACCAGAAAGTATGGCTTTCTAGATATGGCTACATTACCAAAAGATACTACAGTGCATTTATCACGACTGGGGGGATTCAAGGTGTTGAAGGACGTCTACCGTTTCAAAATATCGAACCTCACAATACCACCACCTCCACCGGCATAACCATAACAGATCCATTCATAATATATCAAAACTACATTCAATCGGGTCTACTCGAAAAAGATCCAGAACAAGTTCGTATCATGAAAGAATTTCAAAAACTCTACCATCGAGTTCTTGATTATACACCACCCCAAGACCTTCTGATCAAATTAAGTCTTCTTCTCCGAAAAATCGAACTCCAAACCGCAGAACGAGAGGCACGGGAACGAGGAATATCGAAATATTCCCCATTAAAACTCAACGCGATCCGGGATTTATTCGTTGATCCCGATCATGAACGAAAACAACTCATTAGACATTTGACCGATGAAGAGGAATTGTATAATTTCAATTCACCCCAAGGGTTATTGGTGAATGGAGAGGTCGGATGTGGGAAATCTATGTTGATGGATATTTTTGCTGCTAGTCTACCTCATGAATCAAAAATGAGATGGCATTATAATAATTTCATCCTATGGGTATTTAACGAAATGTATCAGATTCAAAATGAACGATTATTTACTGCGACAATGGGGAATGGAAAGCTGTTAAAATCTAGGACGATGGAGAATGAATTCATATTGTATGAATTGGCCCAGAAGATGATTAATAGGAATACGATCTTGATGTTGGATGAATTTGTATTGCCTGATATTGCCCAGGCCAATATTATAAAGATCTTGTTTACGTATTATTTCAAATTGGGTGGGGTTTTGGTTGCCACTTCGAATAAATTACCGGAAGAATTATATGCTAATCAATTTCATAAACTGAAATTTCGTGATTTCGTGGGGATTTTGAATTCGAGATGTCATAGTGTGGATATGAAAAGTGCCAAAGATTATCGGACTTATTTCGCCCAAGAATCGGTAAAGGAACCATATTTGGTAGTCAAACAAGATAATCCAGAGACTCATGACCGGCAATGGATTCAATTAATCAAAACCAAAGCATTGAATACCCCAGAATCCCCAGCTCAGAGCATTGAACAATTGGGGGGTAAGCCTTCCTCGATCACAGTATATAATCGTACTACCAATATCCCACTCGCATTCAACAATAATACGATTTGTTATCTCGATTTCAAACAAATTTGTCAGGGGCACCATTCCAGTTCCGACTATATCACAATTGCATCCATTTACAAAACAATCGTCTTAGACAATGTCCCCGTGATGACCACCAAGATGAAAAACGAAGCCAGAAGATTCATTACATTATTGGATGCAATCTATGAATCCAAATGTCAATTCTTTATGAGATGTGAAGTTGAGATTGATTATCTCTTCTTTCCCGACGCATTACATTCGGAAAATGAAAAGATTATGTCGTATTTGAAATCATGTCAGGATGATTTTGGAATTGATGAGATTAGATTACAAGTCCAGGATGAAGAAATGTTTGCCAAAACCTCCATTGCTTTGATGAATCCTTACAGACCTAATATTTCCACTTATGACCAGGATAAAACTAAAACATATGATGATTATTCCGAAAACAAGAATGAGAATGAGGAAGCTAAGACACCTAAGTTGGATTATAAGAATATGAAAGCATTCACCGGGGATGATGAGAAGTTTGCATTTAAGAGAGCAGTACTGAGGATAAAAGAAATGGTTGGATCTGATCTCTGGAGAAATTCCGAACGATGGGTTCCAATCGATCAAACAATGAGACCTTGGGAGAACTCTACCCCACATCATATTTCTGAATGTTCTTCTTCTTCCGTCGCGATCGAAGCAGAGGAAACAGATGCAAAGATCGATAAATTATTAGAGGAACATAGTATTCAGGATCTTACAGATAAGATATTGGTTGATAAATTACCTAAAGAATATTCCGAGGGGCAAGATATTCCATTCAGACAATTCAATACGAGGATTGCTCCTGTTTTTAAGAGTTTGCAACATTTTTGGGCAATGGGGTCTTGGACTAGTGAGAATGGTAAGAGATTGAAGGATAGTATAAGTAAGAAGTGGATTAGATCTAGTATTAGAAACTAAGTAGAAGTATTGAACTATATAGAAACATGTAAGCAAAATTGAATATGACGTTGTGAAAACTATATAGAGCTGTAGGCAAAACATTGTTTCATGCTTAAGTCATGGTCGAGCAAAGACGCGGATAGGCGCCACATGGTGTAGTTTGTAAGTTATAGTGAGTGTGGCTCCTCTTTAGTATATCATTTTGTATCTGCTTATTTACTTCAATTGTTATGTTTGCAGAATATTCAGAAAAATTGCAAAAAATTGGCTGCAATTTTACCACTAACAAAATCATACAGTAAATTCAGAGGCAGAAATCTAAATACAAACCTATTTATATCCAAACAACTTCAACTATTAATACCAAGCAGATTGGTTGTTATAAATTTGCTTATATGACGTCAATACGACTATGATATTGCGTTAACGTAGAACTGACCTTGTTGCACAAGCACAGGAGCCAGTTTGTTTGATCTTGTATCACCTTGTTAGTGCTAACACTTTTTCTTTTTGGCGGCTAAGAGGTGTCACAAAACTCTTTCTCTTTGGCGGCTAATAAGGGTCACAAAATTCTACGAACAATGCTTGTAAATGTCTAGTACTTGTGAGAAACCACAATTATAAATTAATTGCGCTATTAATTAATTGAATTAATCCGAGGTACAAAAAAAAAGCCAGTCGCGTATTTACCCGGATTTATCCATTCAAATCAAATGCGGAGCACTTTGTAAATTTTCACATTTCATTTAATTTCTCCGTTTCCTCCTTTTTGACTGATTCTTTCCCTCTTTTGTTATTAAGGAAACCAATTATGTCGTTATTAACAGCAGAAAGATTGGTAAGATTAGCTTACAAATATCCAAACCTTCATAACACTTGGTACTTAATTGCAACTGCATGTCTTACTGTTATCAATAGACCACAAGAAATCCCAAGGGTTTTACATTTTGCATTAAGACAACAATTGTTAGAACTGCCAACCAGTGAACCAACCATCTTAACTGATCAATATATTCTTCAATTAGCCCAAGATTCAATCAATTCTGCTAAGAAATATGCTGATTTAACTGCCGTTGGGGTCAATTTACCGGATTTATTGATTCCTCATACATATTATCGTAATTTACCATTAGGATTCAAATATCAAAAGGGAGAAGATATTCATCGTGCTCAAGATAAAATCACTTCAAGAATGAGAGAAGTCATTTTGAAAAGTATTGCACTTGCCGGATTACCAAAAGCAATTAATGCGTTGATGATTTTGAAATCAACTACTCCAACTAGTTTACGTACTGGTTTAGCACCTGAACGTCCATTAATTGTTCAGCCGGGACATATTTCTTCTTCATCTATCGTGAGTGAGGATGTAGGTGGAACTAGATTTAGTTCTGCAAATGGAAACAACGAGAATAATGGAACTACAGTTGAAACCATTGATGGTCCAATCTCTGTTAGTTCAATTAATTCAAAACAAATTCAAAGTGATTTACAACGTGGATCTGATTTTTGGAATTCAGTATATACAAACAAAATCAATACTAGAATTAGACATCAAATGTTAAGTGCTTATCCTGATTTATGGTATTTTGCTTATCATCATTGTTATGCTCCATTGTTAAGTTATACTGATATCTTGTCGGGAAAGGAAACTTCAATGTGTATTGTTGCATGTTTAATTCCTCAAGATGTTAATCCACAATTGAAAGGTCATTTAAGAGGTGCTGTTAATAATGGTGCTACTAAGGAAGAATTGGATGATGTTAGATCTATGGTGATTGATCTTTGTGATTGGAGAGGTGGAGTCCAATGGGAAGGAGGTAAAGAAAGAATAGCGAAGTTATAAACTGTGTATCTATTATAGGTAATTTTTAAGTAATTAAATCAATAGTTCTTCCTATGTCAAGAATGTTGGGTATGTGTAGTTGTTGGGTTGAAGCTTTTGTTGAATTTAAGTGGTTACTCAAGTCTTTGTTTTTCCGCGGAGTTTATGATTGTCTCTTTTGCCCCACTTAAAATTCACTTGAATAATCAAATTTCATTCAATTAACTTTAACTTTCTTTTCTTCTTTCTCTATAGATATAGAAATGCCAGTGTTAACTCCTGAAAGACTCATCAAGTTGGCGTATTCATATCCAGAATTACACGATACTTGGTATTTATATACTGTTGCATGTTTTTCTGAACTTAATTTAACATCCGAGATAACTACCGTTTTACGATTTGCGTTGAATCAACAATTATTTGAATTCTGTCCTTATGAACAAGCAATAGCAGATGAATACGTCCTTCAATTGGCTACTGATGTGTTAGAAGGGAATGAAGAGACTTTGGAAACCGAATTACCTCCCAGCACTACAGTTGCAACTTGTTTAAAGAGAAGAGACAATACTCCTGAACCCTGTAAAGTCCGACAACAAACCATTGTAGACAAACTAAGAGAAGTCCTCCTAAAAACCAGTGTCATGTCAGGTATGCCCAAAGCAATCAACAGTCTAATCGCCCTCAAAAATTCCACTCCATCCCAACTCATCCCCGCTCCAACCTTCAAACGTGAATCGATTCTAAAAACACACCCCGGAGATCAGCATGAATCGTTCATAGACGGAACCATCACCCCAGAACGGATTGATTATCATCAAGTCTCAAAACAATTATCTCGTGGGTCGGATTTTTGGAATGCGATATATACCAATCAAATCAATCATCGAATTAAGAATCAGTTAATGGATGCATATCCTGATTTATGGAATTATATTTACCATCATGTCTATTCGCCCTTATTGAGTTTTGTTGATATCTTACCACCCAAAGAGACTTCGCTTTCTGCTATTGCGTGTATGATACCCCAAGATGTGAATCCTCAGGTGAAGGGGCATTTAAGAGGGGCCATGAATAATGGTGCGACCAGGGAGGAAGTGAATCATGTGAGAGAGATTGTTCTTGATATTTGTGATTGGAAGGGTGGTGTGGTATGGAAAGAGGGAAAGGAAAGTGTTCCAATGTTGTGAGAGAGACTTTCGGGTTTGTATTTATGTAATCGTAAATAGTGTTATTTATTTTTCTATAAACAGAAATTTCGTATTAGACTATCAATCATTATACTGTCTACTCTGTCTACTGTGTCTCTGAATTATGTCGCCAGGAAAGGCTAAGAACTGAAATGGGAAGATGACGTGAATATGGATGTATTCATTTCTTATCAACTCAATTGTATTCTATTCTGTCTCTTAATCAAAACAATTTGTAACCCACAGAATGCAAAGAATGCCAAATAAACAAATACAGCTTTAAATACAGTTGATGCAACTGCAGCTCCATCTTCAGGATCATTTATTGAACCCATAAACGATTCACTATTTGTTTTGAATAGGAATCCAATTATTGACAATATGACAATACCAAATGCAGATAATATCGTACAACAGTACGCTTGGAATGTGGACACGACTGGCTTCATGATGATTGATTGAGTATAGATGGACTAATGGCTTGGTTTGGTTTTGGCCACAATGATGAAATTGTATGGCATTTTAGTGGAAGTTTTTTTTTTCATTATCTGTGTCTGAAATTAGGTCGCGACAACTCTTAAGGGGGGGTCTACTTGTTCCAATTTATTACACTATACACAAAGAAACACTATATTGAGGTCTTACTACGGGTTTGTCGTCTTGCCATCATCGCCATAGAGGTGTCAGTATGACTACTCTCACTCTCTTCATCCTCTTCCATTGCACCATCCTCCTCTTCCTCATCATATCCCTCAAGTAATCGTTTCCCTGATTCGATTCTCATACTATATAAATCATTCAGATCCATATTTGATGACTTTGGACTACTTGGCATGTCTGACCCAATAACCCTAGTGGAAGCAATGGGGGAACTAACAGGTAATAGAACATCGAATTTCCCAGTTAATTTCTTTTTCTTCACTAATTGAATGGCTTTATATGCTTCTCGTAAAAAGTGTAACCGATCAGCTACTATATTTAGACTATCAAACCATACATTCTCTACTGCTTGATTATGTTCAATTGCCGAAATCTTATCGTTAGCTTCAACGTCTTTATTATTGTGTATATGATATAATTCGTTGTATTTATACATGAAATTAAGTGCATCTTCAGAATCCTTTGTCTTGGAGGGTAAAGGAATCCCAAAGGGACTGAATAAATTTTCTTCTTCGTCTTCTTCTCTTTCAATCACTTCTTGTTTTACTTCTTCCTCTCCTTCTTCCTCGATATAACTTGGTGTCTCTGGTAGCTGTAGTTGCTTAATCGGACTTGAATTTAGGGATGTTCCAGCAGAAGTGTTTGGTATGCTGCTGCTAAAATTAATTTCACCAGTTGTTGTACCAAGACTATTTTGCGGTGTGGGAGTTCTATTCCTCGTCCTTCTCTGCGATAATCGTGAAGTTAAGGGCGACTTGTATATACTGCTGTTGTATCGAAATGTCACTATCTTTGTGGGTTTAGGTGTGGTTGTCGATATATTTACAGAAGAAGCTGATCTCGTCCTTGTAATTGGGGTAGTGGTGATACCATTGGTGTCTTCTATTTTAGTCGCCGTAGAAGCCTTCTCTTTAGATTCTATAAGCGCCAAATACTTGTCTCTATTATACTTCAATGTAATTAGCATACTATCTAATATATAGCTTAATATGTATAGCAAAAGGTTGGTTAGTTAAACTTTCTAAGATTATTAATAAAATTGCAATTTTTTAATTTTCTACCACGGAAAAACTTTTTGCATACCCAAATTAATTTTACTCCCATGAGCATACAACCAAACAAACCTGCCCAGGGCATAATCCATATAAAACCATTATTAATCCATCAAACACAAATGACAACCGCAAGTCTAGATCCAAGCAAACAAGACAATGAACCTTTAATAGCAACCGCAGAACAACTTCTGTCCCTAATGGAATCATTTATAGAACTAGGAGTATTAGTTCATGACAATCAAGGTACACAACAATCACATACAGCATTAATCCACAAGACAAATCAAGTAGTAAGTCAACTATCTGGCTTAACTTCAAGTCCATATACAAATCAGTATCCAATTCCAATTGATGTGATATCATATATTGAAGATGGAAGAAATCCGGATATTTATACTCGTGAATTTATAGAAGTTACGGCAAAGAGTAATGCTAGATTAAAGGGGAAGATGCAGGGATTTGGAAGATTGAGAGATGTGTTGGGTGAGAAGTTGGGAAAGGAGTTTCCGAGATTGGTTGATAGCATAAATGATATAAAGAAACGGACTGATCCTCCTAATGGGGTTAATATTGATGTCGATGAAGAGATGAAGGATTAGTCATGGAAGTTGTGAGCAGTTCACAAACAGGTTACCGAACTAGTACAGTGGAATTGGCTGGAATCTTCTTTGAGCTAAACTGTAATATTCAAATGTGAATAATCGAACGATTGTTGAATTTGTGCCAATACATGGACAGAAATTTACCAGTAGATCGATTGTTTAATGGATATTTATAGCAATTAATCATATTTATCTTGTCATAGATTTAGGGAAACAAATAATATATAAAGAAAAGGTGGCTAATTATAAGAATACTATGTCTACCGATTCCAAGGTCTTCAATGAGACCGATCCCACCATCATATCCAAATTATCGATATTTTCGACTCTTGTAGCAAGCTGTCTGGTCAGAGCAAAGGTAATCTCCCCATACTGAGGTTGGTAGGCTTGGATTTGAAAAATGTTAAGCAAATACCTCCTTGATTTCAATCAAATTAACGACTTTATTCAAAATCGTAGCTCGTTTTTATTTCAGTGAATCGAGCATCTCCCATCGAGCACTCAACTCTATAAGCCTTATCGTGTAACTTCAATTTTCTTATAGTGGGGATGCTCTTCAATACTGTCATACTTGATGGATCAACATTAGAGGGACTGCCCACTGACAAATAAGTTATTGGATGATACTTTAAAAACTCCAAGTCACTATACGGGATATCTTTGATGTAATGGACTTCACCGAGAGAGTAATACGGCAAATGCTTTATCGTGTCCTCAAGTTCAATCTCCTTAATTGAAACAAGGTTCTGACTCCATTCATTCCAGTTTGTAGGGACCTTTCTAATCAGCAACGATTCCAATTTCAGTATGTCAAAATTTTGAAGAATCTTATAAATAATCCAGCCATCCGCTGTATTTCCAAGATATAGAGTCTTCAAACTAAGTTTTACCTTGACTTCAAAGGACACCGGATCGTCGATATAGAGGGACTCTAACCGAGTGAATTGCGGGAGATAATTTTGGTAAAAATCTAAATCTACCACTCCAATCCTTAGGCTCTTAATTAGATAGGCACTTAAAAATTGTTTTATTTCTTGTCTCTTTGATACATAAAGGTGACCAACCTTAGTCCAGAAAGTGTTCAAGATAACGAGGGTCTTAGTAAGTCTGGAGCAACTTATGCAACACTTATTAAGTTCCTTTTGCCAACGTAGCAACGAGTTAACGGACATGTACTCATCGCCATAAAATATCAATTCTTTCATAAATTGGGACTTAAGCCTTCTAGATCTTGACAAATGTAAAAATGAACCCATACTCATCCACGTATGGTTGCGCCATGGATTGCCTGCACGGATGTCGGAGGGGTGATACACATATATCGAGTGCCATAATACTTGATTACTTAGATTATTGAGCCTTTTAGTTAACAATTGAAATTTCAAAAGATCAAAAGTTGATAAATACTTAAATATCTGGAGCCATACCTCGTCAGAAAAGTCCACAAAGGCGTGAGCATCTTTCATTGGTGAATCTTTAAGTTTGACATTCATTAGCAAGCTGAAATGGTTGTTGGAGTATAATATCAAATGTACTTCAAAATAAGTTTTGAATGAGGATGAAAATTGTTCAAAATAAACTGAAAATTTGATGGGTCCATTTTCCGGAAAGTCGTTCGTCCAAGGGGTTGGTTCAATTGATTGTTCTCCAAACTAAAAAGGGGTGGATGAAAAAACAACAGAGAATCCAACTGACATACTTCAATTTACTTTTATCAATTCCTCCCTTATCACCAATCCCCCAAGCCCCCACCTGCCCCCACACACACAAACAAATTACTTTGGATAGTCCACTTCCATTTTAAGCTTCTTTCATTTAACTTAGCTTCTATTCTATTGCCTTCTGTTGGCAAACATTTTAATTCAGTACTTACAACATAAGGAATACAACATCCCATAGACATCAAAAAAAAATAATTACTCAAAATGATGACAATTAGTTCTGAAAACAAGACACTTTGCACTTATGAAACTCATTTGTTAAGCTGAGGAACCAATCATACGACAAGTAGTCATTGCCCTAAAATATACATTGTCTGATAAATTCTCATTTAAGCTTTCTAGATCTTGACGAATGTAAAAATGAACCCATACTCATCCACGTATACTTGTTCCAGGGACCTGCTGCAAGTATGTCAAAGGAATGGTAGACGTGAATGGAGTGCCATAATACTTCGTTGCTTAAATTATTAAGTCTTCTGTTTAACAATTGAAGCTTTGCAAGATCATATGTGAGTAAGAACCTAAAGATCTCGAACCATAAATCGTCGGAGGTGGTAAAGGTAACGACACTTTTCGTAATATCTAGAGTTGATATTTTCATGGAATTATGGAATTTGCCAATGGCTGTAGCCGCGAATCGACTTCCAACTGCCCTTGATGAAGAAAGATGATTTTGGACCAGCCAAAATTTCGTTCCTCCGCCAAAGCTGTTTTTATTTGCTTAAGCTTGTCTCTTTCTCAAAAATTCCAGCGACTTAGCCACTTCTTATATCTTTCCCCAGCACCCATCCAGCGCGGATGCTAGAAGATTTCCTCTCTCTTTCTCAAGTAAATTCGTTTGAGCGGATAATTAGTTTCTCCGCTTCGGTACCTGGAAGTGGCTATGAGTGGCCCACTAAAACCTTTTCCAATCCTTTTTAAACTTAAACCTAGTTTGTTAATTAATATTCTTTCTTAAATTTTGTTGGTGGGGTTGCCAGAGCATCTACATTCTATTGCGTTTTCTGAGAGCTCTGTGGCAGTTTCTTATAAGAGCGCAATACTCACAAGAAGGCGATTTATTAGAAATTATCATTTGCAACCAATACAAATGGCAACAACCGAAAACACAGTAGGTATATATTTAAAGAAAAGTACCTTTAGGCGCTTGCCAAACATAAAGAATTTCAACATGTACAGATTTCGGTAAAGTCCCAAGGGGCATATTTACCTTAATTACATAAACTCTCTAGCTTCGGTTTCTACAAATTGAGTAATACCCGTTGAACGAACAATTCGGAGTGTTGTCATTGCAACCCTCAATGTTCTTAACGATTCAATCGTTTCCGCTAGCTTGAATGTTTGATCATAATCGGTATACAGATCGACCGATAAATGAGTAACTGGATGATATGGTAAAAACTTCAAGTCGTCCTCCGGGATACGATTTAAGTAATGAACCTCACTGAGAGAGTAACGCGGCAAGTGCTTTATTGTACCGTCAAGTTCGATCTCCTTTATCGAAAAAAGTGACTGACTCAATTTATGCCAGTTTCGGGGCACCTTTTGAAGCAGCAATGACTCCAACTTCTGCCAACAAAAATTGTCGATAATGTTATTCACGTCTCTTGAACTCCCAAGAAATAAAGTGTTCAAGCGTAGTCTTTTCGTTAGTTTAAATGCCACAGGTTCATCAATATGGAGCGATTTCAACAGTATGAATCTCGGAAGCACGGTCTGGTAAAATTCCGGATCTACCTCGCCAATTCGTAGACTCCTAATTAAATGAAAATCAAGATGATCTTCAATCCCTTGTCTCTTGGATACATAAAAGTGGCCAACTTTAGTCCAATAATAATTCTTTCGAGTTTGGAATTGACCAACTTGGAAACAGGCTATATTACATTTATGAAGGGTCTTTGTTAACTCCTTGTACCATTCAAGACACATGTAGTTATCGCCATAAAATATCAATTCTTTCATAAATCGGGGCTTAAGTTTCCCAGATCTTGACAAATGTAAAAATGAACCCATACTCATCCATGTATGTTTATTCCAGGGATTACCAGCACGGCAGACGTAGGGATGGTAAACGTAAATCGAGTGCCATAATATTTGGTTGTTGAGATTCCTGAGCCGTTTGCTTAACAATTGGAACTTGAAAAGGTCAAACGTTGATAAATGCTTAAAGATCTGGAGCCATATCTCGTCTGGAAAGTCAACAAGGACATTAGCATCTTTCATTGGTGAATCTTTAGAGTTGACATTCATTGGCTAGCTAAAATAACTTTTGGGAGATTATAATATAAAATACACTTCAAAGCAAGTTATAAATGAATATAAAAGTGGTTCAAAATACTATTTAATAGTATATTACTTCTCAAAGGCGCTGGTTCGGTTGATAGTCTTCCAATCTAAGAAGGTGACCAACTAAACAAAATTGAAAATCCCCCCAATATAATATAAAAGTTCTGTCGGTTTAAGTAAGTGTTGTTGATTAGATGAGATACACAATAGAAGAAGAGGGATTGTGTAGGGTATTTATATTGATTCGGAAACTAAGCATTAACCTCTCGGCGATAACACCGGCATTAACAGATAATATAGGATACACTCGGTGATACTCTGCGATATATCAAAGTAACTCATTCGGTGATATATCGGTGATATATCAAAAGGAATACATTTGGTTCGGCGATACCAACTAGCTTATATCACACCCAACTTCTCTAGTTTCTACTAGACATTTTGAGATCCTTTCTGGATAACAGAAATATGCTAATACTTCCTACTGCTACTCGGTCTGGGTTCAATGTGTTGATCCCAAGTATATTAAGCCTGTAATCCTATTTGTCTAACCATAAATTTAATCTTGTTACTGAAGGTGGGTCATTTTGACACTATATTGATTGGGGGTATATCAATTTCTTCTATCATGGCCAAAGGGGTCTGCATTGGAAGGGGTAGAAAAAGATGTTCAGGTGAAATGCTTTCAATATAAACCTAAGCAGTACAGTCAATTGCCACTAAAAAATAATGCTTCATCAGTCAATTTCTTGGTCAGTTAATGTATAAGTCTTGGAATGATTGCTAAGATTTAAGCGTTATAAACTTACCTTTTTACTCTAGGCTCGGTACAATGTTCCAGCAAAATCGCGCAATTGATTTCTTTTGTTTTTTTGCAACATTGGCTGCACATTCTGCGGCCAATTATTTTTTTAATTATAAATATTATTTTATTCAATTTGAGTTTCCGAGCAGTGATCCAAAATTGGAGTGACTTTATATTGTGCCAATTGCCAGCAATTTCGAATCTAATCCACCCACTGCATTTGACTTAAATTCCGAAATCGAACATATATTGCTTGCAATGTGAATAACAATAAGCTTATACCTAAATCTAAAAATGCATACAGTTGTTACATTACTGTCACCAGATCTCCTAAGGAAATAGAATTATTCTATATTTTTAATTTCAAGCTTGCATTAATATGCATTAATCGCGTCATGATCATTTTGAATGTTCTTAGTATCTTTTCTATCCAAAGAAAATTACGTAGCATTTCAAATATTGTCAAGCAAGTTCTCAACCAATAATAAAAATTAACAATTCCAAGAATTAAATTTGTTTTTTTTTGCTTGTTAAAGTTTATATCATTACACGTATTAAAGAAATAAAAATTGAGAGATTTTACATCATGAGGAGTGAGGAGATCTTGGCAAGTGAATGTAACCCAAACGCCATTTTTTTTTGTTTGGCAGAATCTAATTTTGATTAAGCAAGATAACTTAAATCAAGAAAAAAGTCAATTTCAAAGAAAAATCTGGTAATTAATATGGTGTTTGTTAGCTGACGGAGGAGAAAGTTTAAGTTTCTTCAACTCAACATGGGCTCTAACCAAAGCAACAAAAGCGCACAGGAAATTTGTCAATCATTACTCATGAATCACTGCGGTAATTTACGTAGAGGAATAGCGAATAGCCGAATTGTCTAGAACAATTGAACAATAAATCATTTGATAAAGAAGTCTGGCCGTAATTACAACAAAAGAGGATTGTTAAAAATACGGTTCAAGTAATCTCCTTCTAATTTAGCGAACATTGTAGTCGTCAAATACAAAGAAAATTCAGGATCAGATGGTTCGTCCTAGCGAAAGGGATCGTCCAGATTAACTTCGTCGCCTTTCTCCTAATTTTCCACCTTATTTGGTAAGTATGGTCACACATACGACCTTGATACCTTACCACGAGCAACACTATTTATACCGAGATTCAGTTTAAAATAAGGAGTGAATTGGTTATGAATTCTTTTCTTGACATCGCAACAGACGTATAGTTTATTTCTTTGCAACTTTTATTTTTTTAGAATTTTTCTGCGCTGGCTATGGAAATATTTTTTATGCAAGATTCTTATTGTTAAAATTTTGCTTGTTGAGATTTTTTTTTCTTGCTGGTGGTTTGTATACTATGAACAAATTCAATCTTATTTATAAGAAACCATATGGCCACTTCAATGCCATATCCCCCTTTTCTATATATATATAACCTTTTAAAAAAGACCTTTCTTCCTTTCTATTGTTTATTTTTCTTTTACTCCAGCTATTTTTTTTTTGATTGCTTTTTAGCATTTTTGATTTATACCAAAGTACATATCAATAGATACCAACTACTATACCCATTTACACACATTCATAGAACTTTACAATAACAATGCAATTCAAACCGCTTTCGTTGATTTTTACTTCATTGCTATCCCTTGCAGCAGCAACCACTGAGATGGAATACGAAACCACCGTCACCAGTTTGGTTACCCCAGTTGAAACTGCATTCTCCACTGTAACCGCCGAGGAATATATTTATGGGGAAGTTTTCGTATACGTCAATGATGAAGGGGTTGAAACTAGCGAAACCTTCTTGATTGCAACAACAACCATTAATCCAAATGTCGATTTACCTACACCTGGACCTGAATCTGCGCCTGAACCTGCATCTACTGCTGCGGGACAACTAGTCATTCCTCCAGGTGACTATAGCACAACTACTGTGCTTACTGATACAGTTTTGGACGATGGAAAGACTGTCGCTCTTGAGCTTGTTGTATACTTCACCGAAGAATGTTAGAACAGGCAACGTCTATGCTTTTACAAAATAGAAGAGAAACGTTATCAGATGCTCAATTTTACTCGTTTTTTTCAGTTCTTGGTGTACAATTTCTTATTTTAGACAGGTTTTATAATTTTAATATAAAAAAAATAACAATTTATGCATTATTCTATATCGCCAATTTTATCCGTACTATTGCCAGATGAGCTTATATCCTTTTTTCCCTTCCTTAAATACTTCATGTTTAGGAGAATCATCCTCCTTGTACTCTTCTGGTTCCTCAGGTATGTCTATGTTGTCATCTTCCATTTCAATTGGTACTCCATCTCCATCGTCTTCTTCGCCCCTTGGAATCTCGTTATCGCCTTCTTTCTCCTCCGGAGGTTCAATATCATCGTATTCTTCATTCTCTTCAGGAGAGGGGACGTCATTGTTTTCGTCTTCTCCTTCCTGTGGTAACTCGACCTTTTTCTTATCATCCCCTGGCAACTCAATATCTTCAAATATCTGCCTGGGTGACATATTCAGTCCACACCTCAATTCCTCATTTCTGGATTCACAATATGGTCTCTCACCACTACTCAAATCAAGGAAAATAACTCCTAAATTATTATACCTCAAACTAGTCTGCATCTTCTTCCATCTTCCCCTCCTAAACACCCTTGTCCTATTTCTACTCATAACCTTCTTCTTCACTTTCCGATAGACTACATGCCTCATTCTTGCCTCAGGGAAAAATGCAAATGTCTCAGTCTTGAAGATTTGTACTCTACCTCCAGTCTCGGCTCGACAGACAATTCCAGTACTCTTGCTTCTATATAATGATAATCCGGTGGCACCGGCACCAAATGAAGCCGTGAGAGCAAATAGCGTTCCTTTGACATATATATCCTGAGGAATTGACAACTTTAATGACCTCATTTTTAGCTGACCAATACTTGGACTGGCGTTTCTCATAGTAATACATCCAGTAAGGGGGACAGTCCTGTTGAATGACTTTCTGGGTCCAAAACTGATTTCAATGAGTTTAATAGCTCTAGATTTACGTAATCCTTGAGTTTTTGCTTCATTGTCATTATCTGAGTCATCATCGGAATCTTGAAATTCGGATTCGGCAAAGATATATGTTGTATTCTTGTCTTCGATAATTGCGGCTGTGGATTGGGCTAGCTGCGTATCTTTTGCTCGTTGAAGGTTTTTCCAAAATTTGGAATTGGCTAGCTCTTCATGGGTGGCAAATTTCCGAAATGAAACTTGGTCATCATCATCTTCATTATTGAGGTTCTCATTTCCCTGCTGGTTGGATAGCATGCTTAATCTTTGAAGCCTTGGTCTTGGAGCGTGATACGATTGCTTTTGATGCAAGCGTTCTCGTCTGTTTGGCCGAGCAATATCTACAGCACATCTCGCAAAACTCTGATTGAAATAGGGTAGTCCGTAAATTAAAACTAATAAGATCTGTATATACATAGATTACTAAGGTGATGTTTGTTGTTTCTTTAATTGGGTAGCAATGTTTTGGCCATCAAATATATGTGAGTAGCTATTTGATATGCTCCATTATTTGCAATTCTAGAAATTTAAAATTCACAAAGAAATTTTCCAATAGGCGTACTATCAATTCCTGGCGGTATACAGATAACCAAAAGCTGAATAAAAGCTTGAATTCGTGAAGCCACACTAAGCGTGTTCATGATTTCTACATGAATTGAAATGGCTGCAAAAACATTCCCCTACATGTAGCACCTAGTCGCAAAGAATGGAGTGGTTTTAAGTCGCCTATATGTCTTCAATAGAACTTTGCGCCATATCATATACGACTGTAAGTTGGCCCTCTAAATCATTGCTAGAGTCAAGGTGTTGTTGCGCAAAAGTAATTGAAATGAATAGTCCAAATAATATCTATTTTTTTTACTGAGAATATTTGCAGCAAATTTGTGGATACTTGTTATTTCCTATCGGGCAACATCCAAACATACATACAAAATAGACAGATGATCAATACGGCTAATAATATTTGTAATTTGCAATATCAAAGACATTAATAATGATTTTGTCTTTTATATACTCATTATGTTTCTTCATTCGCTTACAATATTCAAAAACATTATATTCTATATATTTTTGTTCGAAATATTTGTTTAAAAATAAATCATCTTGAATAGAATAAATAAAATCAATAATTGAATAATATGCAAATAAATGAAATAATTTTGTATCAACTTTTGAATATAATTCTTGCACACACCTAGAATACTCAAGATACCTAAGAAAAGGTTTATATTGATTGTATAAACTAATAGACTCTTCAGGACAAACCACAATAAACCTTGAAATACAATAATCAATATGTAAATTATTTTTAAAACAATATATGGCTAAATTGGTATTCATCAAAATATCTTCTGGTTCAAATGAATAATAATTTGGTTCTATTTTACAATAATATTCCTTATTCTCTAAAAAATTCTTTAAATTATAATAATCACACATAAATATATTTTCATAAAAAAAATCTTCATCAAAACTATAAGAATTAGCAAATGTTCTAAAATGCCATATACTAACAAAAGATGGCATTGATGCAATAGTTTTATTATTTATATCACATAATTCATAATTATTATTATTAATATCATTTGAATAATAATTTGGATAATTTAATTTTTCAATAATAAATTTTGTTTTAAAATAAATTTTATTTAATTTTAATAAAGTTGCAGTTTGGATCTTCTAAGCAAACAAAATAATATGGTATTAACTA